AGTAATACTCTGGTAGGGGCTGACTTGCTCTTTAACTTAAATTTTACAAACACACATTTTAGAAAATACATTTCAGTTATTTAAAATGTTATCCCAAATTTAATTTGAAATTAAAATTTTTTAGGTTAATTCACCTGTTGCTGTGTTCACAAAAAAAATTTTAAACTATGGAGATAAAAACTTTTTTAAAACGGTGAGCAGCAGAAACATAAGCAATTCTCTAGGGATGGCCACCCCTTGGGGGTGCCCTTGGATGAGAAACCTCAATAATGTTTTGAGACATTTTGGATAAAACTTCTGCATTCTATGACAAAGTCTTGGAGTTGTTGATGTAGGAATTATGGTTGAATTCAACCAGCGCCTAGTCCAGCAGCTAGCGGATGAAGTAAATACCAGTCTCCATGGTAACAACCTTCCTCTGCTGCACCAGGCCGCCCATTAGTCCGAGCTCATTAACATGGTCCGCCCCCTAAAACTTGTAGAAACCATCTCAGAGGTGTCAAACTCCGGTCCTCGAGGGCCGGTATCCTGCATCTTTCTGTTGTTTCCCTGTTCCAACACAGTTGAATCACCTGTGCAGCAGCTCCAAGCTCTCCAGAAGGTTGGTGATCGCCTGCTGATTGAAATCAGGTGTGTTGAAACATGGGAAAACACTTAAACATGTGGGAAAGCGGCCCTCGAGATCTGGAGTTAGACACCTGTGGTTTAGATGACTGTATTTTACATGCATGTTCTTCTATAGTCCTGTGGATCGCCCTTTTATCTTCTGTCAGCAGCTTCACTTTGTTGCTGCCCTCATCCTGAACTTCCTCTTTGTTCTGCAGCACTTTTATTATTAATAGGATATCAATATTCAAGAAAAAGAAGTTAGTTTCCTCTGTCTACCTACTAAAACTCTTGTGTTGTAGTTCTATTGGGAAGATAGAGGCTCTGATGAAGAAAACCTCAGGATTTTTAGTGTAGAAAGACCTAGAAAGATAACAATTTTTAGATAAAAATCACTAAAACTAAACTTTCATACAATAAATCTCTTATCCTCATACAATTTCACTTCACTATTACTCATTTAAACCTTTATTTGACCAAGAAAGACTTGCATATGCTGAATATAATCCTGGTCAACACAATAAACACAGCTGCAGGTTTGTAAAATTAAAGCATCATGCAGACGAATAAACAACAAAAGTTATTCTGTTTTAGATTTTTTAGATGTCTGAATTAGACCTTAGTTATTCAGAATGAGCAGATAAACCTCAGCTGGGATGGGAATAATTTATGGAGTTAACAGAAAGAACTGAGGTTAGGCTAAAACGTAGAACATTTGGCTGCAAGTTTCATGTCTGTTGAGAACAGATGGCATTCACATATGGAGGATTTCTACTGAGAAGCACGGAGGAGGAGGTGTGATAGTATGGGGGTGCTTGGTTTTGTTTCAGCACCACCGCAGTCTGCCTTTTCTCATGTTTACTTGCTAAATTATTCTACTAAAATATTTCATGTCTTTAGTGTTCTTCTGCAAAAATAATGTATCCAATATGAACGGGTTAAAGAAATTTCCAGTTTGATGCAGAATATTTGCGATGAAAACTGATGAATTTTAGATTTTTAATAGAAATTCAGGAAATTTAATTAGAATTTTCCTGTAAAACTTTGTAAACTGAGCTTCTTATCTTAGCTGAAATCTTTGTTTTCAGTCATTTATTTCCCCTTAAAGTCATGGTCTCCCTCAGTTTTCTGCTTGAAGTTTATTAGCAACAGCTGACCCACATCTAACGGTCTCCACAGCTGCTTCTCTCCTTAGCTTTAGCCAGGGGTGCGTCCAGGGCGTGGCCTGGGGTAGCACATGCCACCCTTGGAATCTGATTGGCCACCCCACTGAATTCCCATTAAATAGACTTGTCTACAAAATGCTTGGGGTAAAAAAAATCATAACCATTGGTGCCACCCATGCATAAAGAAGTGCACTAACTGGGCCACCCCGTTTTAAAAGATCTGGGCACGCCACTGGCTTTAGCTTCTGTTTGCTAACCTCTGCTGCAGGACCCACACCCTAAAATCATAACATTTTCTTCGTTCTGAGTGTAAAACAATAAAACATGATTTTATCACAATAGATGGTAGGTCACAAGTCAGAAACCAGATTCACTGATTTACCCAATATTGGAATCCAAACAAAGCACAAGTCAGTGGTAGAAACGCTTTATTCACACCGTCAAACGAAAAGCCCCCAAGACGAAATCCTGGTCAGTTCCAGCTCCAAGAGATGTGCCTGAAGAGCATTCCTATTTATTTCAGGAGATGTCAATTTAAACGGAGGATAAAACTCTAATAACAAAGACAACCAAGCAAGCATGAAGTTGATTATAACCCGGCAGGGGGATTTCTGATTCTGGAGGAGAGAAAAACAAAAATATAAAATAACAGAGAATAGTCTTTTCTGTTCCCCAAACCACCTGATTCCCAGGGTCCAAACTCTCCCGATTACAAATGCACATTTTATTTTCTCCCCATTCCAGTGACAGCGTGTAGGAATGTTGCTTAATTGTGAGCCGATAAAAAGGAAAAACACATTAAATATATTAACGAAATGTGTTAAAAATTATTTATGCAAACTGTAACTTTTCAAAAGCAGATGAAGCAAAAGTGAGAAAAACTCAGAAAGCAACAAGGAAATGAGGATTTCTCACTAAAATAAATGAATCACAACAAATCTGACTCATGATGAGCAACGTTCCGACGGACTCACGGGATTCTTCCCAGCCTAATCTCTCACTGCCGCCACTTTCTCACCAAACATTACATTTTACTGTGACATAAACAGCGAAATCAGTAAAAATGACATTTTCTGTTAAAGCCTCACCAGAGTTTTAATGTTTAATTATCTGGCAGATGCTTTTATCTGAAGCGATGTTAACCTATAGGGCACGTTGTGATCTGTGGGGGGAACTGGAGGAAACCCACGCATGCACGGGGAGAACATGCAACTCCACGCAGAAAGACCACAGCTGAGTTTTGAACCTGCAACCTTCTTGCATCAGTGCTAACAACTGCGCCGCCACGCAGCCTGAAGCTAAAACGGCAAATATGGAAAACAAATTAGCTCAAAACATTTAAGATGCATCTTAAAGAGCAAGTCACCCCCAACCAGAGTATTACTCCACTCCCACTTCCTGTTTGAAAAATGCTACAAATGCTGTTGCCTAGCAGACCGAGAGGGCAGAGCCGCTAACAAATACACACACTCACACAGGGGCACAACCACATCGTGACATCATATGGTACCAGCTAACGTTCTAGGGTACCTCTTAGCCAATAGCAATGGCAGATTTAAATTCAAATGCAGTGCAGAGTTTTTACCTGACAACGGCACAACACTGAGTTTTAGGCAGAAAATTAAAATTTTAACTAAAATGCACTAAAGGGCAGCACGATTAGACACACATTTATATAGTTTATCAGAAATAAAGTAGATTTGGGGGTGACTTGCTCTTTAACAAGGTTCTAGCATAGCTATAAAGATATAACATGAAATAAATAATAAATTAATGAAGTAGTTCTCTCGCATTTGTCTAAAAACCTCTGCTAACATTTGCTTTCAGACCATCATCATCAGTTTGCATTCAAACCTAGCTTGTTCTGTAAATTCACTACAGCGGCTTTAAGCTATTGCTTTCAAACTGGTTTCAGTGATTCTTGAAGCAGAAAGTAGACAAGTTTACTTTGTTAAAGAGCAAGTCACCCCCAAATCAACTTTTGTTTCTGAGAAACTATATAAATGCGTGTCTAATCGTACGTCGGGCGAACGTGAAGTGTGCTGTCACACAGAGGTCCAGTGTAAGCGCAAGTTCCACACTGTTGGACAAAATTTCAAGATTCATGTGCATTACAGCCAGTGATCCAACAGCCCCCCCCCCCCCCCGACGTTCAGCCAACAGCTTTGTTTTTACTTTGTTATTGAAGGGAGACTAGGCAGTTTCGGCTTGCTTCTAGCACCCTCTAGTGTTCGTTAGTAGAACCAAAATCTTCTCTCCTTGCCTTGCCATCGTCTGTCTAACACCTTAACAGCTCAGTGACCTGGTGGTAGAGTGTCCGCCCTGAGACTGGGAGATCAAGGTTCGATTCCTGGTTGCGTCATGCCAAAGACTTTGAAAAAATGGGACCCAATGCCTCCCTGCTTGACACTCAGCATTAAGGCGTTGGATTGGGGGCTTAAGCCACCTAATGGTTCCCGAGCGCGGCTGTATCTGCAGCTCACTGCTCCCCCAGGGGATGGGTTAAATGCGGAGAACAAATTTCGCACACACATCCGTGTGTGTGACAACTAATGGGACTTTAACTTTAATCTAACAGCTGAAATGCCTCCCTAGCCTTCATTAGTGTCTACAGTGGTGACTAATCACTAAATTAAACACATCAGCTGTGTTCATAATCTAAATCATGCAGGAAACGTGCTGGAACCGGACTGCAGCGCCAGGTATGTCAGGCGTAGAAAAAGCTTCAAGCTAAATAGTTTTGCAAATTTGTTATTGCAGCTTTACCATCCAGGTAAACTACAACTTTGTTTAAAAGTCTCTATATCTGGTTTTCCGTCCTTAAATATGTTAAATGAATAAATTCTTGCTCAATAAATGTCTAAATAAATAAAATGGAAGCACCAGGGTAGCCTCTAATTGGCCGGGCATCCGTGCTGATATTTGGATTTGGTTTCTGTAGATAATTGGCGCTCGCCAACGTCCTTTTAACCCACCATGGCGTCGTCTGGCTGTAGGATTTAAGGTTTTTGCAGCCGTTCCAAACATTCCCTAATCTGCCTTCTGGTGCTTTCTGCTTTTTGCAAACAGATGAGAATTCTGATGACGTCCAACAGTTTGTGTTCGAGACTTAGTCTTGGATCGCTGCCACCGTGAGCAGCACTGGTTTCTGTGGCCTTCAGACCCGTGAGTCATGGAGCGCTGCACCCAAAAGCACATTTTAGACGTTAGACTTATAAATCTGCAGGATGAGGTTGCAACTTTAAATCTTTGTTTTATTTTATGAATACATGCTTGGAAAATCATTACTGTAAAAATACAGATTTTTCTTTACAAGTTAACAAAATGTTGTAAAAAATTACTGTTCAGAGTTTCGTTAAGAGTTATAATCATATTATTAAATAATTAAAGCCACAGAAGGAACAATAAGATAGTCGTTGTGAGAATAATCATGATTTTGAAAACTGATTAACTTTATAAAGACTCTCCAGTTAAACCACAGACTTTCTCATTCAGACTGGGCTGAAGGGTTTGTCGGAGTCGGCCATGAAGGCCTCTATCTCCTCCACGGTGCGAGGCACGCAGGTCAGCAGCTCCACGCCGTCAGCCGTCACAGCAATGTCGTCTTCGATACGAACCTGCACAACAGCGATGCTCCGGTTAGTGAACCCACCCAGACACCTCATCACTGTTATTTCATTAGAAGCGCCCTGAGATGCGTTCACTGACCCCTCCGAAGCCTCGGAATCGAGCCAGAACTTGGTTGTTGATGAAGCAGTTCTGGGCGGGGTCAGCCAGGGCCTGGTCCAGCAGGTGGTTGATGAAGTAAATCCCAGGCTCCACAGTGAGGACCATCCTCTCCTGCACCAGGCGGCCCATCCGGAGGCTCCTCAGTCCGGGCTCGTTGACGCGCTCCACGCCCTTAAACACACCTCGTTGTTATTATTACCAGGATTTTTTAGAAGATATGCAAACCAGTTCATGTCTCGATTCTTAAAATGTTTTTTAGAGCTGCACAATGTTAGGTTTGAGCATCAACATCGTAATAAACGTGTGCGCGGTAGCTGCACCGTAGGTCCTGCTGCGATGTTGGAAGGAAAGCATGAACTCGGATTGTTCGCATGTAATGTTACGGGCACTTGACGCAGTGATCCTCCAATCAGAATCACTCTGGTTGGTTTATGCTCGACGCGTCCGCGAGGTTCGCACGACTCCGCGCGGCAAAATTGCGTCATTTAAAAACCACGCCCCTCCACCGCGCCTCCGCACGGCCCAAACATTCTGCACCGCGCACGTAGGAAATTTTCTAACCACGCGGACGGTCGAACACGGAAAAACATGATGGACTGGCAAGAACTAGCATGGCAGAGGTTCGTAAATACAGACATTTGTATGATTCAGGTCTCAAAGATCACGTGATAAACATGTTGTTAATAATTCTTGGAGAGAAATAGCTCGCACTGTCGGAAAAGACGAGGACGCTGTTAAAAAATGCTGGAAGAACATGATGGGCCGATATGTGAAGGCAAGGAAGGGGAACAAACGGAAAAGCGTGATCCTGGTGGAAACAAGAACACTCCACCAATTCTAAAAGAGCCGAGTTGGCTCTCAACTTTCATTAACAACTGTAATAAGCAACAGTAATTTTTACTTCTATGTTGTAGTGTTGGATGCATGCCGTAGAGCTCCATACTGACCCCTACAGTTTGGGAGAATCTTGGCTCACCGCAGAGACAAGCCGCACGAACCATAAACGCTGCGAGTTGTGAAGGGCGTTCCACCCGCGAGCCGCAAGCTTGGTGTATGCTTGACACATCACTTGATGCATCACTTTATGGAAGCGGACCCTGAGGAATTGGTTATGTAAGATTTTGTTTTTTTGATGCAACAATCAATAACATTCCGCAAAAACTGGTTTGAGCTACACGTGAGAACGGGGGGAAGCACTTTTGACCTTTTAGCCAATAGTGGAGGACTCTGGGGTAACCCATCACTGTTGGATCAAGTAAGATCTCCAGAAGCTAATATGAGGATCCTAACGGAGATTATGATGAAAACTTTGAGACGTATTTGATGGGAAATTTCCAAGGCTTTCCGCGGATTATTACGTTGGACTGTGGACTAAAGACTTGCCATGGACAAACTTTTATCGGAGAACCATTTGTTGGAAGATGGCTCTGTTTAAAAGTAGCCTCACAATCGCTCGTGTTTCTGTTTCCTCGCTCAAGCCGCTGTGTTGAGCGATGCGCATTCCCCCGATAGAAAAGCTCAGGTTTTGGGCTGAGCAGGACACATGCTCGCTGCGTGACGGTCGGGAGACCGCAGCAGCAAGGCTGTTACTTTTTAGGTTTGGCAGGACAGGCAGAAAAGCGCATTTTGAGCATAATTGTAATCCAGTCTTGTCAACGAAAGTTCCTGCATGTCTCATCATTTAGTTTTAGCCACCAAAGAGCCATTTTTACCTCGTCTTTTATCCAGAGCGACGTGCAATTGTTACCCTGGTTTCACACTGCAAGCATCAGCGGAACGGAACAGCAGCGGAGCGGCTCACTCGCGAACTTCAAAGCGGTCCTTTTCACACCGGGAGAGTCTTGGCCGCGGCACGGCTTCCTCGCTGCGCCTCGCTGTACTCGCGAGATTCTAAAATCCCTCGAGACTTCCGACACCTTCCTCATCGAGAGATCACAACCCCCGCAAGGAATCACACCGTTGCACTTCTCGAAAGAAACTGGTGGTAAACAAAGCCGTTCGGTCACACGTGCTGACGTAAGTTGTAGATAACATCGCAACGTTGCATTTTATTTAGAAAATAACCGGGGACTTTACACTGAAACCGTGTGTGGTTTCCTGTCTCGCACTATGTGAACTGCAGAAATTGGCGTGTTCCAGAAGTGGCTCGCAGAAAAAATAGATCCCGATCCCATCTTTAGCGGCGCGGCATGCCGCTTCTGGGATGCTCCTAGAAATTGCCGCGTCGCGGCTGGTTTGAAACACTCCATAGACTAACTGGATTCTATTTGAAGCGGTGCCGCTTCGCTGCCGTTCCGTTCCGGTGATGCTTGCAGTGGGAAACCGGGGTTAACCTATAGGGCACATTGTGATCTGTGGGGGAAACCGGAGGAAACTCACGCATGCATGGGGAGAACATGCAACTCCACGCAGAAAGACCGCTGCCGAGTTTCGACCCGGCAACCTTCTTGCTGCGAGGCAACAGCACTAACAACGGCACCAACATGCAGCCCAATTTTCCTCTGATAGGGAAGGTTTCACTTCCCACTGGGTCAACCCTTCCCTCCGTTTATTCCAGACCAACAGATTCTTCCACCGTCTGCGTTCAGAGCTCAGACCGTCCTACCCTCGTCTTGAACTTCTTTCAGTTCTGCTAAATTTTATTATTGATGACTCATCACTATTCAAGAGAAAAAAGATAACGTTTCCTCCTTCCACTGCCTTCCTGTTGCAGCTCTGACACAGTAGAGGTTTTGTCGAGGACTTTTAAGTCTTCCCACCTCAGGGTAGCCTCCCACATCGTGCACGTCGATGCCCAGCAGGTGTCCCAGGCCGTGGGGCATGAAGACAGAACCTAGGTGGACCTTCAACATGTCATCCACGTTCCCGTGCAGGATCCCGATCGTCACTAGTTCTTCCAGGTGGACCTTATCAGCCAGGCGGTGCATGTCGGACCACTTCACACCTTCAACAAAACCAAATAAACATTTGAGACGACTTTTGTTCACAAGCTCGTCTTCGCTCGTTTGGTTCTGACTGTAAAGCACAGAGGAGGAAGTGTTATGGTGGTGGGGTTCTTGGATTTGTCTCAAAACTTCAGGCAGAAAATTCTCCCAACAGCCTCCAAGCTTCATTTATTAATATAATTTTGATTATTTAATGATAAAAATATTGTGTTTCTTCATCAGTTTTAATCTTAAAAGTAGAAAATAATCTAAATAAAGCCACAGAATGCACCAGTTATTGTGTTTGTGTTCACAGCTGTGACTGGTCCTACACTGGAACATTTAGTGAGCTTTTTTCCCAGTAACCTGGTCTGATGGCGGCCAAAACGGTGCGGGAGGACTTCAGAACCGCCTCGTAGACAGCCTTCTGGTCTGGAGTGAACTTCCCGTTGGCTGGGAAGGAGCAGGTGATGTCTGACGAGTAGCAGTAGTACTCTCCACCCATATCAAACAGACTGCAGGGAGAAAAAATGTTGACCCAGAAAAACAGAAAGAAGCTCCTTAAAGAGCAAGTCACCCCCTACCAGAGTATTACTCCACTCCCACGTCCTGTTTGAAAAATGCAACAAATGCTGTTAACTAGCAGACCGAGAGGGCGGAGCCACTAACAAATACACACACACACGCACGCTCACAACGACATTGTGACATCATATGGTACCAGCTAACATTCTAGGGTACCTCTTAGCCAATAGCGATGGCAGATTTAAATTCAAATGCAGTGCAGAGTTTTTACCTGACAACGGCACAACACTGACAGTTTTAGGCAGAAAATGTAAATTTTAACTAAAATGCACTAAAGTGCAGAACTACTGACTACACGTGTCTGCAGCACGATTAGACACACATTTATATAGTTTATCAGAAAAAAAAGTTGATTTGGGGGTGACTTTCTCTTTAATGAGGACTTTAGTCCCACTGAAGGCATCTCACCACATGTCTCCGTCCTGAATGCTTTTGTCGTTTGGGGCCCCGGCGTGACCGTAGTGGAGGACGGAGGAATTGTTGCCTCTGGTGGAGATAAAATCAAACTTTTCAATTAAACTATTGCAAAACATTCAATTTGGAATTCATTTGAAACTTTTCTCTCATCTTCTTCACAGTTTGGTCCCCAACCCGTCTCCAATTGGTCTCATATTTTTCACAGGCCTGTCCATGTCTAGTCACCCAGATGGACGCTTTGTCTCCTCTGAGAGGAAAACTGTCTCCTACGGTCTTTGAACAGGTAAAATAAAACCCATCCCTCCCTCTAAAAGTCCGTTTGCATTCACTTCAGCGTCGTGAGAAACTGGACCGAGTTCGTGTTTCCGCCCAATGAGCAGACCGAAGACCTACGTTCCACAGATGCAGGTGTAAGAGGTGTGGCGCATCCCTCCTTTAGTGTAGCAGTAGTGTTGGAACAGGCTGCAGAAACAAAAACACGTTCCGTTAAATGGAAAAACACTAAATAAATACATTTTATGTGTTTTCAGAAGGTAACGTCACTCCACATCTCCTTAACTTCAACTGTAAGGGTGAAAAACTAAAACTGAGATGCCTCTAACTGATTAAAGAGCAAGTCACCCCCTACCAGAGTATTACTCCGCTCCCACTTCCTGTGTGAAAAATGCAACGAATGCTGTTGCCTAGCAGACCGAGAGGGCGGAGCCACCAACAAATACACACACACACACAGGCTAACAACGACATTGTGACATCATATGGTACCAGCTAACGTTCTAGGGTACCTCTTAGCCAATAGCGATGGCAGATTTAAATTCAACTGCAGTGCAGTTTTTACCTGACAACGGCACAACACTGACAGTTTTAGGCAGAAAATTAAAATTCTAACTAAAGTGCAGAACTATTGACTACACGTGTCTGCAGCACGATTACACACACACATTTATATAGTTTATCAGTAAAAAAAAAGTGATTGGGGTGACTTGCTCTTTAATAAACCGTTTTCATGTCTGGTCAGGAAACAACGTACCTCTCCATCTCATATTCTTTCTGTCCTGGTTTCACATGCTTCATGATCTACAACAACAAATATCACAAACTTAACACAGACCTGTTCTGCGTTGGTTAAAAATAATCTCACCTTTTTAGTTTAACTCACGTTAAAATCACAAAATCATCCAAACTCAAAAATGAAACGAATCACATCCAAAACAGCACAAGTGAACGTCCATCTTAGCTGAATTCTAATTCAAGCACTTTCAAGGCTTTCCAGGACCTTCTGCTGGTGAGGATTTAAACATGAAACACGATCGTTTCACTTTCTTCTCTGATTGAGCTGAAACCAGCATCAGTTTTGAGCACTTTTATAATAAACGGTGCGGTTGGCGGAAAAACTAATTATCATGATTATTTCTGATTCTAATGAGTCACTCTGAGATTTTCATGCAGGCTGAACATGAAAATAGTATCCTACACCTACCTCCTGCTTCTGAAGAAAAAAGGTGGTGAAATGCAAGGATATGAAAATCCTCACATATCTATGTCACACTGTGAATTTGCATTCATGACCCCGCCCATCTTGGCTCACGCCCGCCCATGGGAAGGTTTTTTCTTGCAGCGAGGAGAGACCGGCGAGTGCCTAGGCTCAAATTCACACTGGGCTGAAATGAAACTCTGGGACGGAGTCGAGGGTCAAACTTAATATTTTTTGAAAAAGTGACGGCAAATTTGCACATTTTCTTTATCAACATGTATGCAATTTTGAACCTTTTAATTTGGAAACAAACTTATTTCTGCATTAACACTGAATGTGGAATAACCAAATGACACACGAGCAAGTCTGTTTTAAATAAAAGGCATCAGCGGTATTCATTATTTGTGGTATAGTCAGCATTTTTAAAATCTATTCAGGATTTATGTTTTCTTATTTATTAATTTTTCTTTTTTTTTCTCCTGTAATACGTGTCATCGCTGCTGTGACGTCTAGCTTTCCCCACTGAGGAACAATAAAGGGATTTTCTATTCTATTCATCTATCTGCAGCCTTTCCACTTCCTGTTTACTGTAGGTTAAATCTTTTCTCACGGGCCAACAACAAAATAAAATATAATTTTATCTTAAATGAAATTGCAACATCTCACCTGTTAACTTTCATGTTTTGGAGCAGAAAAAGAGCATAAAACCAACATATTTAAAGCTCAGTTTGCTCCACTGGTTTACTGTGATGCTCACCTGTTCCAGCCAGATACCTGCATCATGGGGTTGATCTGAGCTGAGGAGGAGATTCCTGTTGTTTGTTCATCTTCATCATAATAATGACAACATTAGATGACAACAGGTGCTCACATAGGTTTGTGCTGATGAACATGTCTGAGCAGCTTGACCACGTCGATGTGTGTCGGGGAGGAAAAATAAAAACTACAGCAGCAACAGAGTCATGCTGGTTTGAGCGTGTCGCTGCTCGCTGAAGTTATATCAGCTCTGTCTGGAGGTTAGTTGGAAAACGTTCTCTTTCGGTCGTGAACGCGTTACTGAGCGGTTAAAATCTCCGTTTCTGGGCTTCAGCATTGGCAAATAGCCGAGTAAACTCGGCGCTGAGTGAGAGGAGTGTTTAGGTCTTCCGAGACAGCAGAGCTGCAGGCGCTGGAAAAAACACAAAGGAGGGGGCGCTTCGGTGCCGTGCTAACGTCACAAAGCATCATGGGAGTTGTAGTCTTTGTGGTAAAATCAGCCAGCGGGTCAGTTTTAATATATTTGATATTTATCTTGTTGGCCACATAAAAATGCTCAGCGGGCCTTGAATCTGACACATGTGGTCTAGGTGATAGTGACTTTGCAACATGGCTGAACTCGTTCTGTTAGACAATCAGAAGGGATGTGTGTGCATATCATTAATATTAATGAGTAATCCTGCTATCTTCAGCCCACAACTGCACCAGCAAACTTCTGCATCACAGAAAAGGAGCACCATAGCTTCTTTTTTTAAGAGAACACTGCAAATGTATTAAATAAATGAGTAAACCGCACCTTTAAAATATAATTTTAAACAACTTAAAGGAACTTTAAGAATCCTGAAACTACGGCAAACTGATGCCTGATAAAACTTTATGATCCGAGTCCTGCTGAGGAGGATCTCACCATCTTGTGGGCTTCACTGGAAACTCGGTTGGTGTAACGCAGAACCTCAAGCTCCATGTCCGTCTTAGTGACCCGACTGCAAACAGACAGCAGGAGAAAAAGTCTCTTTTGTTCTTGTTAACAAATGGACAAGTCAAGACATAACAAATCACAAATAATTAACAAAAACTACAAAAGAAAAAATCCTGCTGTGGTGCAATCAAAAGAAACAAGATTAAACACTTTATATATGTAGAACTACTTAATACTATCACTAAGCCGTGACTTCTAGTATATTTATGTAGTTTATCATTTTTAAGATACTCAGCTTTTTGAGTAAAAACATGGTCGTTAGAAATAAATCTGGGATCCTTCAACTTCTTCAGATGAGGATTAAATCGGATGTGTTAATAGGGAGCCTAAGTCTCGCCCATCTACTTCCGGACTCCCGGACTATGCCATGGATTTCACAGATGATGTCCATGAATTTAAAAGTGACAATGTGTAGTTTTCCACCATTAGTCTCTGGAAATATCCATCAAAATGTTGTTTTTAATTAATTAAAAGATGCCCAGCTGTTGAAAATTATTGGTGGTTTAATAACATATGAACATAAGAATCAGGTCTAAAATACACGGGGGGCCAATTCTCTGGGCGACGCCATATAGGATGCCATGCTTCCTTCTACAGAAGCCTGTGAGGACAAAACACATTTACTTATTTGTAACAAATGTTTACAAAACTTTCAGCATTGATAAACATTGTTATTTCACACATTTACCCCTTCGCTTGTTGCCAGTGATGAAAGGGAATCTGATGTTCTTGTTATTTTGCTGCAGGTTGTGCCCCCAGGGATTTTTCACCCTAATGGCCATCCGTTGGTAAGGTCTTACTCGAACACAAAAATAATACTTGCTTGCAGTGATTTAGGTATGTATTGCCCCCTATTGCCAGGCAAAATACACACTGTCCCTGCATCTTGACACCAAGAAAGTGCTTATTTTTGAACGGGGGGAAACATTATTTTAGGTTTTGTGGGAAAATATTTCCAGGACTACAAATGCAATCACAAAGTGACATCGTATACGCGACGTGCCAACGTCTGGTTTGTAGTCGTGATAATTATGAACTTTTACAAGCTGATGAATCTCAACGAACGTGACTGGCGTGGTCGAAACACACTTTGTTACTTTAGATGTGAATAGAAATGTGCGATCCAGGGCCTAAGGCAGGGCGGATTAGACAATAGCTCTTTTAGCGCCGCTGACTTTCATTCATTTTTTCGTCCCTCCGCACACCCATGAGCCGACTGGAAGGGGAGGAGACTTAGGCTGCCTATTGGTCAAACAAATAAAATGAAATTGTGATAAATAAACACTTAATCATTTTCTACAAATACGTAAAACCTTTTGTTTACAATCAATCTGAAGAATGATGTAAATAAACCAAAAAACACCTTTTAACCACCTGATTCTCATCACAATAAGACATTTCTAGAATTAATGCAGAGGCGACAAGCAGAAACGCTCCAGTTTTTAAAAGATTCCCATCAGCCGGAGCGAGGAGCGGTCAGAGGGTTTAATATAGCTTGGCTCCTTTGGAAGCGTGCCTGAACAGCATTCCTCTTCATTTCAGGAAATGTTTAATCATCCGACGGCTCCACACTAATACCAAAGACAAGCACGCAGGCACGGAGCTTGTTGTATTCGTGCAGAGTGACTCCCGACTCCGAGGGGAAACGGAGCTTTCCTCACAACAACCTGAACCTGCAGCCGTTCTTCAGGAGTCTGACAGAAGAGACTACTCACCAATCCACAATAACTGGGTGTAAAACTGTGTTGTTCACTTGGAAGCTGATAAAAATAAAAAGAGGGGGCAACATGATGAACGAGTTTATGCATAATTACACTCAGTTTGTTTTAATATCTATAAACTAATAACAATTAAGTTCATGCAGGAAGGAAGTCCGTGAACGCACCGACTGATTCCTTCGAAGGAGGCTTCGCGGCTGATGCTCCCGCTGTCGGTGTTCTGTCCTCGCTGCAGACAACAACAGAGAGTTACATCGCTAACAGGAAAAACAAAACTATTTACAATAGAATGGCTGTGAAACTAACCTGCTCCTCAGTTAAATACAGGTGGTAATAAGTTTTGTACCTGAGCCCTCATTTATCAACCATATCTACAAACAGATGTGCGTAGGAGCGATTTTACGCGTTGTGTGGCATTTACCGGTTTGTACTTGTGCGTAGAAACGCTCCTAAATATAAGAACAGCTCTGAGCATGCGTAGGAACAGCATCTAGTGGTAGAACCGGGGAACCGCAGTACTGAAGGTCCCAGTCGTTCACACACGTTCCTCATCCGTAAGGTGCTTTAAGGTTGGTTTATGCTTGACGCGTCCGCGAGGTCCGCACGGTTCTGCGCGGAAAAGTTGCGCCATTCTCCGCACGGCCCAGAATTTCCGCAACGCGCACCTCGGAAAATTTCTAACCACGCGGACGGACGGACGCGGAAAAACATGGCGGACCGTCAAGAACTAGTACGGCAGAGGTTCGTAAATACAGACATTTGTATGATTCAGCTCTCAGAGATCACCGTGATCAACATGTAGTTAATAATTCTTGGAGAGAAATAGCTCGCACTGTCGGAAAAGACGAGGACGCTGTTAAAAATGCTGGAATGCCATGTTGTGAACAGTCATTTCTACTTCTACTATGGTGTAGTGTTGGGTGCATGCCGTAGAGCTCCATGCTGCCCCCTACAGTTTGGGAGCATATTGGCTCACCGCAGAGACGAGCCGCATGAACCATAAACGCTGCGAGTTGTGAAGCGCGTTCCATCCGCGAGCCGCATCACCACGCGGAAAGTGAATGCGTCAAGCATAAACCAAGCTTTAGCCATTAAACAATTATGTTGGTGGAAAAACAGCTTTTTCACATAATTGGTGCTAAAACCAATAGAAGACACACGTGACCGACGGGAATCTGCTGTTGTATCACCGCTGGAGGGATTCTGGAGGGAACGCGTTCTCCGTGAGCACACTGATCTCAAAGGAAATCCTGCTGTGCTGGGATTTGGGACCCTTTGTGGAGCGACAGACAAACCTCACGAATCCGATTCCAGTTTATACTTTATTATAAACTACGAGAACCCCCAGAAGTAGGGGTGGGCAATATAAACGATATAAGGTAGAAACGATATAAAATTGGGTAATGATAAGAGTTTTTGGCTATATCGCAATACCGCGATATCGCGATAACACGTGATGTCACTAAAGGTGCTTTTATAGGACACACCATGCTGGCAAATCAGCGTAATATTACCGCAATGGTATGTCTATAAATGCACATGCCGGCATGGCGTTGCACGAATACTGCGGCATTCGTTCCGCCTCGCTTGGTAGTAATATTGCCGCATCAGCCCCTCGCCTCTGACGGCTAAACGCGTGTCAGCCCCCCTAATTCCTTTGGAGCGACTGTGGGAGGCCCCCCTGCAATAGAGGGTGGTCGCGTTAGTCACGTGTACTGTGCGGGGGGGGGGGGCTCCAGCCACCTCCCTTTATCCCGTCTTGGTTGGAGAGGTGTCTGATGGCAGTTTATTCTAGCTTCAGCTTTGCTACTATAAATGCCAAAACTCTCCCCAGGGTGCCGCGGCAAATCCTATTTTAAAAAACGCCATGGTCCTGTAAAAGCAGCTTAAGATGTGCACCCTGCTGACATTGGGACAACAGAATGGCAGTGACTGCAAGCATGGAGCGGGCAGAGGAGGAGGCCTATATGCCTGCAGTGGCATATATTTGCCACATGAGGATATTTAAACGCGTGTCATTTTGACACATACAAACAGAGGAAAAAATGTATCGCAGTATATATAGAAAATAAAACCATCTCCAAACAGAACGACTCCTAAAGAAACCGTTATGGGCTCGACACAGGCACAGGTGGGATTTATCATCAGACGGTTGCGGAGGAACGTGCGTACGAGGCCAGCGCACGTTTCATAAATCAGGCTTTTGACCGTTCGTACGAACGTTCTTAATTTCATTCGTAGGAAGGAATTTAGGACAGCTTGTGCAAACATCTGATAAATGAGGGCCCTGGATTAGAAAAAAATGCTCATTTTGTGTGAAAATAAATAAATAACAAACAAAGCCTCCAAACGTCTCGGCGTGTTGAGTCCAAGAGAAACATTTTTTTATGATGTCATGCTAAAGCAATAAATGCACTAATGGCCTGTGACAAAGCATTTTAAAGTGCTTTTATATGGCAAAACTGCTTGCCAAAAGTCAGATGGTTTTAACTTTTCTGTGGTTTCTGCAGAACCGGCCTTGGACGTGGCGGTTCGATACCGGTACCAGTGAGTAGGAATAAAGGAGGTTACCAGAGTCAGGAGAACGGCCGGGTTTAGGCCGGACAGAACATCCACGATCTGCAGGAATTCAGAGGAAACAATCAGCAGCAGAACTCAAAGCTGAACGGTCCGAAACAGAACAACATGGAGGGATTTTAGTATTTTACAGTGGACTGGATCTATAAAGTGCCTTTTCTGGGCACTCAAAGCAGTTTCCGTTATTCACACACTCGGCCGCTGGTGAGAACTGACGCCAGGAGCGCCGAAAGGACAGGAGGTTGGAGCCTCTGTCCAGAACCAAGAAAGATACCGATGCCTTGCTGCCGAGACAATGCTTAAAAGAGGAACAGACACAATAAACAACGGACTGAGGGTGAAGTTTTTATAGAGGAAATATGAACTGGCCATGATTACAGGTTAATCATATTCCTAATAGTGCTAACCACGAACGTCCCATTTTTTCACGTATTAGACTTGATCTAAAAACTTCACCATGATTCATAATGAAAAGTCGCCTCTTCTCATTGGTTTAACCAGGAAGGCACCACTAAGATCCCTGGAAGTACGCGGGGTGGGGGTATGGTCTGGGCAAGCCGGGACTGAACCAGCAACCCTGGCTCTCAATCCTACCCTGATCCATCACCAGTGCGACTCTACAATCTGGTCTTCGGGGTGAAAATTTGACCTGCACCGAATCTCATTTTTCAGGTCGATACCAATTTTTGGTTCCTGCACGGCTTCAATAGCAACTTTGTCCAAATAACCTCTACAGACAGCAGAAAACATGCTTTTGCTATCATTTCTGCTTAACATGAATTGCTAGCATTAATTAGCATTTGGGTATGACGTAAAAAGAGAAGCTTATTGAGTTTCAGATGAAGGCGATTTCTAAATTCAAGCCAATTTTGTTCACCGGACAACTTTTGGTGCATCTTTAGTCAAAACGTTCTGATTGCAAATACCTTTACCCTTTCAGCTACATTACACATTTATATGTTTTATATTAATAATTAGATTTACATCCTAGAAACGGTTACTACCGGTGTTTACCACTAGAGAGTAAAACTAGTTGCACCCGGTTATAAAACTCAGCTAGCAGAGCTAACAGGTTTGGAGGTGTTGGACTTTGTGATGAATCAGTAAACCATTGAGACAGATTACTTCCTGGAAACTCAGTTTAGTACCTGGTGAGCTGCTGCCTTTAAAGTAGTGACATTCTAAACCAGCTGAATAAAACCGACGGAGCTTTAATGAAAGTTTTCCATGGTTTATATGGGAGAACGAGGGAGTCACGACTAAACCAGAAAGCCTTATTTAAAGGGACATTATGGAAATTTGACAGCCAAAACATGAATAGAAATAATAAATGTCTTCTTCATACATTCTCCTGCAATGCCCTGGTCCTGTAGAATGAGCCCTGGCATTTTTACTGTGATTGCCTGTTTTTCTGTAAAATCACAGAAAAAGAGAGATGCTCGGGTCGAGCAGGCTGCTTCATGAGCGTTCACGCTCAGGCATCGCCCGTAGCATTTGCTATCCGTAGCTTTAGCAGCAGAGAGAGAGGCAGTGCCACTTTGTCGCTGTTCCTAACGCCTAGTGACAAAGCTAGCTACATTTCTGAGGACCCTTAGCTACTTTCTGTAGAACTTTCTTCTAGATATTTCCTGCAAATTAGCAACAAAATAGCCATTTTCACTCCGAAGCGTTCTTTGAACGTTGTTTCAGCTGTCATCAAGGATATAAAAGTTACAGATACAAAAGACATCACTGGTGCTTTAGCTCACCTAGTAAGACGTCAGACTCTCATGCAGAAGACCCGGGTTTGATTCTGGATGTGAACATAGTTCATTTAGAGTTTCTTTTTTACATTAATGATATATTTTTTTTACAGTAAGATGTCCAAATTTTTATTTGAGACTCGCTGAACAGCATTGAATTCACAGATAAAAAAGATGTGGGTTCAACTTTCATTTTGGAACAATTTTTCAAGCAAGGGAAGGGAATGATCTGAGCATGCAGGAGGACTGACCCATCATAAACCTTTGTCGGCTGTGCTGAAGAGAAAGCTACAGAACCAAATTATTTAATTAATTAGCTGCGCGTTCTCCTGTCCTCTGTCCTCCAGGCCACACACACACACACACACACACACACACACACACACACACACACACACACACACACACACACACACACACACACACACACACACACACACACACACACACACACACACACACACACACGGGACTGTCTCAGCTGTTATTTTCGTTAAGGAGTGTGCACGTACAGCGTGCGCGCCTCATGCACGAGCCTACTATTGAAGCTGCCGTTACGCTTTTGGCCTGAGGGGGCAATCGCGAACATAAAAATTCAAAACTCCGAAAAGTCCCGTTAACACTTTCTGTAAGAGTTTCTGGTATGGAGTTTAATAATTTATGACCTGATTCTGACAAGAATTAAATAATAATAAAAATAAATCCTGGTATTTTCTTTTTCTGGTGGGGTTAATGCTTCAGTAAGACACACATCCGGTGTTTTAACGGTATAAAGACACACGAATACAGTTACGTTTCTAATTTAGTCTGACGGTGTTAAACTGCTGTTTGATGAAAGATAAACGTGATTAATTAGGAAACCCGACACCTCGAGCAGGTGATGATGACACAGAACCACAAGGATGAGTCACAAGAGTTTAAATATAGAAACCAGTGTAAAATATTGGTCTGTTTCACTTCTCAGACGTTTAAAACCTCTTCTCCTGGAAGATGAATTTATTATTCTTATTTTCTAAAGCCTGAATCTGATCTGGAGCCGTTGGTTGGAAATCTGCTGACAACACGAATAAACGTTTACTCAAAACGCCCCGAACAGGCAGCCCGGAGTCGAGGAAACTCTCCCAACAGGCTGTTAAAACAAGCCTGCAGGTTATGAGTTTAAATAATCCTGACAGGCAGGTGAGATTTGTGCGGGCTGAATCCCATCAGGGGTGTGGAGTGAACAGGAATCATTTTGGCTAAAAGTATAAAAATGCATAAGAAACAAAGCCGAACTCAACCTAAGACTCAAAAATCACGTTTGAATAATTTAGTTAAAAAAACTAAAGATAATTCAAGTTGGCAAAAAAATTCTGTACAGTGGTTATTAGTTCAAAAAAATTACAGTTGCCAGTTTAAATAAAAACAATTTAAAGGAGACGCATAACTTGTTAACGTTATAATAGTTGCTAAGCAACAACAGAGTCGCATCTAATCAAAACAACCACCACAACACAACAAGGCCAAACAACATCAACTACATCGGGTGGGGGGTACTCATATGTAGTTTCTGCTCGTTACAGAGCAAGCCACTCCAAATCAACATTTTTTTTTGCTGATAAACGATATACATGAGTGTCTGATCGTGCTGCAGACAAATGTAGTCAATAATTCGGCACTTTAGTGCATCTTAGTTAAAATTTAAATATTCTGCCTAAAACTGTCAGCGATGCACCGTCGTCAGGCAAAAACTCAGCACTGCATTTGAGTTTCAATCTGCCGTCACTATTGGCTAAGATGTACACTATGATGTCAGATGGTACATTATGATGTCACAGTGTCATGACTGTGTGTATTTGTTAGCGGCAACGCCCTCTCGGTCTGCTAGGCAACAGCATTTGTTGCATTTTTCAAACATGAAGTGGGAGTTGAGTAAGAATCTGGTAGGGGGTGACTTGCTCTTTAAAGTTATAATGGTTGTTAAGCAACGACAGACAGCTGCATCTAATTGAAACAACCATCACAACACAATAATGCCAAACAACATCAACTACATCGGGGGGGGGGGGGTACTCATTTGTAGTTTCTGCTCGTTAAATAACAACAGGCAGCCACAGTTTATAAGCTCGACTCCCACATGTTCCAGTCAGAATTGATAAAGCTGCTCGGATGAGAAGCTAAACATCTTCAAGAAACCAAAGTCCAGTTGCCTTCATTTCCCTTTGGAAAGTCAGAGTGGAATACCGTTCACGTTTTCCAAAATAAAATGCAAAAAATAAAATAAAAAAAAGCACCATTTACTCATAAACATATGCTCATGGACTGAATTTTGAGAAACACAAAAAACGATAGAGGTCAAAGTTTATCCTTATAAATAGGGATGCACCGATACGATACTGGTATCGGTATCGGTAAAAGTTAACCGATACCAATGCAGTTGCTTGAAAATGGCTTCACTATAACTTGTCATTTCTGTTCACCTAATATTTTAGTTTTGTGATGATTTCTATTCATATGTTTTACTTTCTATCTACCTCACAGTCTTTTCCTGTTGAAAGCAGAGAAGAAAATAAAATCTGTATTCCAAATCATTGCATTTTTTTGTGTGGTAGAAGTATCAGTATCGGTAATCGGTATCGGCGAGTATTCCAATCCAAGTATCTGTATCGTATCGGTTTGGAAAAAAGTGGTATCGTTGCATCCCTACTTATAAAAACGCATCTCATGTGTTGAGTTATGATACAGATTCAACACGGATCATTAGATCTGCAACAACGAACATCGATTTCAGCAGCACAAATGTCTCGATTTTACATACAGATTCTGTTTCTTCACGGAAAAGGTGACCCGAAAGCAGCCGAACACGTACTTACATCACAGGTGTGCTGCACCTCATCAACAGCATATTTCCCCTTGAAGTGTTCTTTCGGAAAGATCCTGTCAACAGATCAAGACGGAAACTTAGCAACACAGAAACTCACCCCGAATCATCTGGATCTCGCCCATAAATTAAAAGATATACAGAGAAAAACAAATTAGCAATAAAATAGAAGGAATTAAGTTCTTAGTAATTATTATCAGGTGATCTGAACTCGGAGGATTAGAGGGACTTACTCGCCCATCCACGTAGCGTAGCTTTCAGGCAGTTTAGGAACAAAAAGAATGCACTTCCCAGAATCCACGTCGATGGCTCCGTAACAGTCGGGCTCGGTGACTCCAAAAGCCCAGTGGAAGAAAGACTCCTGCACGGGTGGAAAAGCCAGAAACAGCAGCTGTACACGTAACCCAAAACGGTTGAGGTTGGGCCATTCAGCTAAAGGTCACCTGGTGAAACTACCACGCCTAATTTGGTCTTTGAATGCACCACTGCCATAGCCTGGCAAGCCAGACTAAATAAATGTATTATTTAGTCTGGCAACGCTCCACTGACGGCTCTCGGTTGTGGGGCGGGTTCTACCGTTGTCCTTCATATGATCTCCGCATGCTATTGGACAATGAATGTGACAGCCAGGTTCCTGACTGGGACCAGGAAACGGGACCACATCCGTCCGGTTCTGGCCTCCCTGCACTGGCTTCCGGTTTGCTATCGCTCACAATTGAAAATCCTCGTCTTTGTTTATCATTTCTTCCAGGGTGGTGGTCCCCCCTATCTGGCCACGCTCCTGAACAAATATTCCCCATCACTCGCTCTGCGCTCCTCTGACCAAGGCCTGCTCGCTGTCCCTCGTTCTAGGTGTCGTACTCGCGAGGACCGGGCTTTCTCAGTCCTAGCACCGTCACTCTGGAACCAGTTGCCACCCTCAGTTAGGCTGTTCCCATCTCTGCCAGTCTTCAAGAGTCGCCTATAAACCCACCTCCTCCGCTTGGCGTTTCCTGAACATGTTTGATTTTGGCCCTCTTTTATGTTAAATTTATTTCACAGTTTTTGTTGGTTCACTCAATCCATTGTTTTACACATTTGTCCTGTACCAGAATGTTTCACCTATTTTGTAATGTGTATTTTGTGATTCGAATTGCTTTTATTTTTGATTTATTCAATATATTTACCTTCAACTGAACCATGTTCAGCGCTTTGGGCTTCCTGACAGGGTTGCGGAAGGTGCTTTATAAATAAAGCTTTGATTGATTGATTGATTGACATACCGCAACAGCTATCGGTAAATGAGGCGGTCCACAGTTGAAGAAGGAGAAAACACATATTTTTTTCTAAAAAAAAAAAAAAGCACTTGAATACATCTATCTGCTCCTGATTCTGATGAAGCCCAAGTTCTAATCGTCCAACATGGATGTAAAAGCCGTTTCAAACGAGCTGTCGCCATCTTGTTTCGCTCTGTTGCATCATCCCACCCACCAGGCATATAGAGTGCCCTGATTGGCCCACAAAGCGGATAAAGCTCTGTGATTTGTTCACTAAGCAGATAGAGCACTATGATTGGCCCACCATTATGGACCAATCACAGCTCTTTATGTGTTTGAAACCCCTCTAGAGAGCTGTGATTGGCCAGCCAGAATGCTGTTGGGGCTGCAGAGGTTCCAGTGGAGCGTTCCTAGACAAACTTTGCAAAGCAAGAGTTTGGTCTGGTTCACTCAGCTACCACTGCCAGGAAGCAATGTGAAAATGTGAGATGTTTCTCAGCGCAAGAACTCACCGCCACAAAGGGCTACGGCTGCTAGCAGCAACAAATGTTTCAAGCAGAGGTTTTAATTTCCAGAATCAGGATTTTCAAGTGGATCAGAAATGGGAATAAAACATAAAAGCACGACAAACATGTGGAGAACCAACCTGTCTGAAGAGGACGTCTGTGTCTGTGCAGTACCTCTGGGTCTGTTCTCCTCCCTGCAGAACCACCACAGACTTTGACACCAAACCCTCTTTGGCTCTCAGCTCCTGACACAACCTGCGACGGTTCTCCGCGAAGAGCGCCGCGGACACCCTCAGGGTGTCGTTCCCGAGCCAGAACACGGGTCTGAAGGAACAGGAGAAAACAAGGAGGGCTGAGGGCGGGTCTGCGGCCGCAGGCGGACGAGTAAGCACGAGTAAAAACAACGCAGAGTCTGCTCAGGTATTCATTTGGATCCTGAAAAGTTTAAACATCACTAAAGAACATTTACAGGAAACGCTGCGAGGAAAAACGGGAACTTATCAGCTTAAAGATTCTGCACATAACTTGCATATTAGGTTCATCCATCACACAGAATGATGCGTTTAACATGTTTCTTTTATTAATTCTGATGATTATAACTGACAACTAATGAAAACCCCAAAGTCAGTATGTCAGAAAGTTTGAATATTTATAAAAGGTTCAATACTGAAGATGCCTGGTGTCACTCTGATCAGCTAATTAACTCAAAGACCTGCAAAAGCCTTTAAATGGTCTCTGAGGCTAGTTCTGCAGGCTACGCAGTCATGGGGAAGACAGCTGACCTGACAGTCCAAAAGACGACCACGGACACCGAAGAATAACGACTGAAGTAAATCGACTTTTTCATGATATTCATGTTGAACGACCTGCACACGCGTGTGTTTGTGTGAGCCGCCGAGAGCAGGCAGAAAGGAGAAAGCTAATCTGAAGAGGGGATTTTGAAGTTAAGAATAAACCAGTGTTGGGACTTATGACAGAAAAGGTGTCAGCAGCAGGTCGAGAAGTTAAGCTAACATTGATTGAATTATTATGTGGCAGTATCTGTTGTGGCCATCTGACTCTACGACTCTTGAAGGCAGCACGCCTTAGCACTCTGGGCACAGAGAGCCCTGGTGCGCCTGTTTCAGGATGCAGAAGGTTGCCAGATCAGACGAGAGCTTCAGAAGGCAGGATCTGAAGTCTCATTTCCTGATATTTGGACATCTCATCTCTGATTGGCTAACAGCAGCATGACTCTACCACTGACTCGGTTTGCTCTGCAACATTGATGTTTTATCGAGCCTGGAGGAGTTTTGCTGGGTGGTGGCGTTGCTAATGCTAACAGTTAGCTTCTACTAGCCAAGACGTTCTCTGCTGTTTCCTGGATGCTAAACCGATGACAACTTTCCTCGTTGTGAGTCAGGATGAGTGAGTTCACAGCGTGACGTAGATCTGTCAGGATTTTCTGCATTTGAGCCAATTCCGCCGTTTTCTGCTGTTCCCGCTGATGTATCCGAGCCTCCGGCTCTTTTTATACAGCACTTAGGTTACCTGCCTTGCTATTTTTAAACAGTGCTCTACAAATAAATTGGCATGGTATGGTTGTGTGACGTAGATCTAGAGTTTCACCGCCTGTTTTCTATCAGAAGCTACTGCAGGAGGTAGGTGTAGGAGACTATTTTCATGTTGAGTCTGCATGAAAAACTCAGACGGACCCGTTAGAATCAGAAATAAAACATTAAAATGCTTTTTCAGTGAACCACACCTTTGACTTGAATGTCTAAAATACCTTTAAGTACTCACTATAGAAGTGAGTGACTCATAGATATAAATCTTTGTCTCAGGTCACAGTTCTGCTGATAAGATAAAGATGTTTTATTCCACCAGGGCAAAGTAGAAATCATAACCTCTCAGTTTTATCACCCGTTTTGAACATGTTTACGTTATTTTCTCTTTAAACGTGTATTTAGTGTTAAAACTGTCAGAGTTTCTAACAAAGATCAATGTAAAAGACTTTAAATAGATGTTTTCGGTTTGTTAGGAAGCTCAAGTTCTCCAGATGATTTGTACTGTCTCCTGGATCATGTGACTGAGGCTAATTGTGGTTTGACTGACTTCTACAAACTTTAAATCATCTCCAGAACTTGTAATACCTTTTAATTTAACCCATGAAAACAACATGACACATAAAACACACGATCGCTTTGGACAAAAGCGTCTGCTATGTACCTTAAACATAGTCTTTGTGTTCATAAAGTTGTTTAAACACAGCAGCGGGAAGTCAAAATCCCCCAGGAACATAAAATCCTATTTAGTCCAGCGGAACTAGGCTCTTGTTTAAATAATAACTACTAATTTCTAAGGTGTTTATTAAAATAACAGACATTTAAAATGCAAAGACGATTACAAAAGAGGGGAATAAAATAGTTAATTTCACTGGAATAACAAGTATTTACTCTCGTGACTAGTTTCATTAAAAGTTAATCGGTTTTTGCTAATTATTATTAAAGATAATACCATATTTCACCTAAATTATTTAATATATTAGAAATTTTATGCCAAAAATTGCTTAGCAAATGCTCGCGTGCTCGGCTAACTGACAACAATGGCGGATAAAATAAACTCAAAACTGTTTGTAAAACGATTAAAACCTAAAAATATTCAGATATTCATCCGTTATTTGAAAAGCAAACTCACGTCGCTGCAGCAGCCATGGTGAGCGAAACCAAACTGTCACGTGTTCACGCGTGTCACGTGACTTCAGTGGGTTTTTGGCGTCGAGTCAGCTGACGTGGCTTCGTGCTGCGTTCAAGTCTTCAGGACATCTCAGCTACAATCTGAGACTTGCACTAACGGCGTATTTGGGCGCTGCCCTCACATGAATTACCTAATAAACTCGAAACAAAACGACTGAAATTAATCAGATTCGAACCTATGAAGGTAAATTAGCTTCCTTAAGATATTTCAAACAGCTCCATTGTCATGTTTCACTGAGAACCTCAGGATACAGAGTTTTTCCTTCATTCTTTGAAACTTTACACTTTAAAATTACATTTACTTAACACTTTTTACATAACACAGTTGTTTACGTGGAATTTTGTGGTTATTTAAACAGGAAAATATTAGGGACGAAGATGGCTGTGGGTGTTCGAAGTTAACCCTGAAATCAGTGTGTTGCAAGCTCCAACCCACAGCCATGTCAGTCGTGTCCTTGGGCATGACACTTCCTGCTGTTCAGGCAAGGAGGGTGGCACCCGTGCTCAGCAGCTTTGCCTCTGTCACTGGTGGTAGTCGGAGGGACTGATGGCTTCCGTCAGTGGACCCCAGGGTAGCTGTGGCTACGATGTAGCTCACAACCATCAGTGTGTGCATGGATGAATGATTCACTGTAGTGTAAAGCACTCTGGAGTCCTGTGTTTCAGAAAGGCACCATACATGTACAGATCATGTATCATTTATCAGTATCACCACCAGCAAGATGTAGCCCCTCCGGTGCATCCATGGGTTTGGCACATGTTTAGGAAATATATTTGCCAAAACACCATTGTAATGTGGAAAAAATGGTGATATAAATATTTGTGTGGACTTCTGTTCAGAAGACTGAAGCTGTTTTTAAACTGAAGTTGATTGAGCTTGTTCTAGCCGTTAGCTCATCAGTCCTGATTGGTGACATTTAGGAACCTGTTAGGTGGGTAATAGATTTCATGCAGAAATATGCTTCAAACTGGAAAAAATCTCTTTGAACCTGCTTATTAATTTCGTTCCCATTTCTAAAAGGAGAAAACACACCACTGGCATTCATGTCTTGTTATAATTATTATTTTGACCTTGTTACCAAAATTGTTTGGCTGCCACTGACCTCTACTTATTTATAGCTCAGAAAACAAACTATGTAACCAAGCTGCATCACATAAAATCAATAATTCCAAAACAGGATGTGACACTGAGGGACAACAGTCAAACACTCAGTCACATTTATTTGACTGTCTGCGGTGCGTCTCTTTTACAGTGGATACAGCAGGGGGAGATCCAGCTCTCCTTAAATACGTTTCAGGAAAAACAAATAATGAATTTTCATGGATGAATGCAGATTCATGATGCAGTGAGCTTTGAATGATGTGGGTAAAAAAAAAAACACCCGGGCCTAGATGACAGACAAGAGGGTTGGCTCGCCAACCATGACATATGAATAACTTTAAATGATGAAAGGCAGATTTTTGATACCAGGGTGTGTGCTAACAAGGCTTTATGATTTCTGCTTTTTTTTCTTCTGAAACGTATATTCATTTGCTCTGTAAACACTGGAAACTCATTATTAGAATTAATTTAACAAGTCCACAGTGTCAAATGACTCTAAGGATACTTTTAAATATGTTTAAAGAGCAAGTCACCCCCAAAAGAACTTTTTTTTTCCTGATAAACTATATAAATGTGTGTCTAATCGTGCTGCTGACGTGTAGTCAATAGTTTTGCACTTTAGTGCATTTTTGTTAAAAAAAATTTATTTTCTGCCTAAAACTGTCAGTGTTGTGCCGTTGTCAGGTAAAAACTCTGCACTGCATTTGAGTTTAAATCTGCCATCGCTATTGGCTAAGAGGTATCTTAGAACATTAGCTGGTACCATATGATGTCACAATCCGGGCTGGACTGAGCATCCAAACCACAAACCATTGTTCTCTGGCACAGGAAGCTTCTTTGGTGTAGCGTTATTGATGACCGTCTTTCCGGGACAAAGTTCACGTTCCAGCTAGGTCACAGCTGGGTCAAGATATAACCTTTATCCACAGATTAAAGCCATCAGGAGCCAGAGTGTCCGAAGAGTAATCAGCCTGTTTATCTGTGTCCATCCCAAGATGAAGGACATCTTCAACTATTATCAAATAACTCAGTAAAAGCTTATTATTATTAAGGTTTATAATAATCATCATAAATAATCATCCTTTTCGTATTAAATGTATTCTAATTAATGAAATGACTTATTAACCTTGCGTTAATAATAATTATTATTTATGATAATCAGTAATGTTTAGTCAGTAACCAGAAGATGCCTTTGCACGTGTCCAGCTCATGCAGGATTCACTTCAAGGTAAAGACTTCACACATGTTTTTGACGCATGATCAAAGCTTTCTTCCTGAGAGAGTGGGCGTGTCCTGGAGCTTGGTAAAACTATCCATCCCCAGCTTCAGAACGAGTTCTTGAACCAACACCAGGAGAAAGGGGAACGGCCGTCCCTGAATCTCCACCTGCTGTTCTAGTCACGCTGACTAGAATAAGCCAAAGAATAGACGAACTGTAACTAGCTAACGGAGACTCTACCCAGAGTCATTGATTTCTGAGTTCAGTTAAAAGACAAAAAACTCCTTCAGAGTTACGGATCTTTAGACGCAAATCGTTCCACCAGTCGAGTGACCCAAGGAGACATCTCAGGACTGATTTGGTCGCATAGAGGTTCATCTACCAACCTCGTGCCTGGAGGAAACCATCTCCACCTGGACACTTCGGATCCGAAGGAGGGTCTTCTATATGGGTGAGGTAGACTTCGACAGATTGCGTCTGATGCTGTTTCTCTCTAAATAACTCAGTCAGCCTCAAAGCATCATCTTCATCCAGACCGCTTCCAACTCTCTGGGACAGAAACCTTCTCATAACTTCATCCACGCATCCAAACTCGTATTTTCCATTTAGCTTCCATTCAGGCACAGGTTTGCTTTTAAAACAAGTTTAATATCAAAGCTGTTGAAAATTGTCATTTAAATTGCCATCCATGAATTGTCATTTTATAATTGTCGTCTCAAATCTCTAAGTTTAAAATTGTTAGTAATAAAATTTCTTCATTTTTAAACTTGCCTCCTTGTTGAAACGAAACACAGAAAAGGAATAACATTTCTGGTTATTTGAAATCAAAGATCCTAGCTTCTGATTTAAAATAACTTTGCTATTAAATTTAATTATCTAAATTAAACATTAATCTTTGGATTTAAAATGAGATCAAACAGGTTGATGTATGAACTTAGAGCGATATATAAGTATCCAGGATATTTATATATGATCTAAGCCTCATAGGTTCATCTGATTGGTCATTTGTCGGAATCTCCACTGAATAGCCCAGAGGTGATTTCAGTGTGCAGATTTAACTCTACATTGGAGATGTCGCACGTTTAATTACAAAACTCCACAGCCTGTACCGAGCAATGTCTCGTGTTCAAAGCCGAGCAGATCGATTGTGTCGAAGCAATTTGTATTTGCCACAACAGACAGTAAGGATTCAGGGGAACCAGCTCCCGGTTGGCACCAACATTGGTGGACTTACTCCCGATGTTCCAAACGTTTCCCTACAGCCAGCAGGAACTTTCCCACTCTGTTGGGAGACATTTCAGGAGAACAATAATCTGAAGTAAAAAACACAACTAAACTTTAAACTTGTCGTGTTTGATTATAAAACTTATGTAAGATGATTAAAGTGTCAATGATGTCTGTTTGTGTGAACAGAGATGTGACGTCATGTGAGATGAGTATGTCGTTGTCTTCCATTGTAATCTCCTTTATTTCTTTTGCCAGTTCTATGCTATTTTTGCAGTGTTGGTCTGTGTTTCCTAATAACGGGCTGATGATTCTGCTGATATCTCTTGCCATGTTGTATGCTGGTGTACCTATGCTGTCAACTATTGGTCTAAGTGGGGTGTTTTGTTTGTGTATTTTTTGCGTTCCATATATTCATGACGTCACATCCCTGTTCACAAACACACCAACCCAAAAAACCATAGACATAGTAGTTAACAGAATCAGACAAGACAAAACTTTACATAAAAGGACAAACCTCACAGCAGATGACATAGCACAACTGATAGGACTGGTAGCTAACTCCACTTACTTCACATACGACAACATAATATACAAACAACTGGAAGGCTTTGCCATGGGTAACCCGTTATCAGCCACCCTGTGCGAGTTTTTCATGGAAGACCTGGAACAAAAAGCCATAGCCACCGCCCCCCCAAACTGTAAAATAAAACTATGGAAACGCTACGTAGACGACACACTGGAAATCATACCAAAAGGACAAACAGAAACACTAACACAACACTTAAACAATACTGACGACACGGGCAACATAAAGTTCACTTATGAGTTAGAAACAGAAGGCAGCATAGCATTTATGGACATGAAAATCACCAGACAGACCGACGGGACCCTAAACATAAACACATACAGGAAACCAACACACACAGACCAATATATATTATGGACATCAGAACACCCCACCATACACAAAATGTCAGTAATCAGAACATTATATCACCGAGCAAACATAATAACAGAAGAGAGAGACCGTAAACAAGAGGACAAGCACATACAACATGCTTTAAAGACCTGCAGATACCCGACATGGGCAATAAACAAAGGAAAACAACAAACAACAATAGAAAGAAAAGATCAACCAAAGCAAAGAACCAGAAATCCAGAAAGACAAGAACCAAAACCAGTGATAACCCTACCATACATCAGAGGCATAATGGAAAAAATAAGAGCAACAATGAAAAAACACAACATAAACACACCAACAAAACCATACACAACAGTTAGAAACAGACTAGTACACCCAAAAGACAAGATATCAGCTGGACTTAAATGTGAACTCATTTACGAAATCCCATGCAAACTCTGCAATAAAACATACATAGGAGAAACCGGACGCCAACTCAACACATGAACAATAGAACACAGAAAGGAGTGCGAGAAAGAGGCAAGTCGAAAACACACAAGAGCAGCTAAAGAAGAAGCAGAAAGTACAATAAAGA